TGTTCTTAATGCCAGCCCTGCCACTTTGTCTATTGTTGTGTGGACATGACTGTGTCCCATGGGAACAATGAACAAGAAAGAAAGGGCCATCCATCTTTGCAATCAAACCTTAAACTTCCTAATCAACTCTACACAACTGTAATATTCATAGAAAGACTTTCCTGGTAAGTTTAACTGACTTTCCAGTAAAACTAATTAATTTAAGGTTACCATTTAAAAATACTTTATCAGACATGGTTTTTATTTATTTGTCAGAATGATCTTAGGGAAGTATCAACTGACTCTATTACCTATCTCTATGTATCTATGTATCTTTGTATCTCTGTCTGTCTGTCTGTCTGTCTGTCTATCTATCTATCTATCTATCTATCTATCTATCTATCTATCTATCTGGTCTCATGTAGCCCCAGGCTGACTGCAAACTTGCTAAGTAGCCAAGGATGGCCTCTAGATCTTTCCTCCTAAACTTGGCCTCTGTATCTGTTTAATGTAGTTCAAACCCAGGGCTTCATGACTGGAATTCAAAAACTCTACAACTGAGCTACCTTCTCAGCATCATCTGATTTTTGTTTGTTTGTTTGTTTTATTTTGTTTTGCTTTTCAGGGCAGGGTTACTCTGTGTAGCCCCGGTGCTGCACTGGTTGTACTGGAATTCACTCTGTAGACCAGACTGACCTTGAACTAGGAGATCAACCTGCCTCTGCCTTCCAAGTGCTGGGATTAAAGGTGTGCATCACCACTGCCTCACTAGTTGACTTTTGTAAAAGATATTTTTTTCTGTAATGTTGGTAAATGCAATTTAAAAATTGGCATTATGGTTTAATAAGGGATGTATCTTTCATTTGGTTCTTTGGTGCTAAAAATGTTTTTTTGTTTGGTTGTTGTTTTCAGACATGGTCTTCTGTAGCCCAGGCTGACCTTGAACTCACTAGGGATATGACCATGACCTTGAAAGCCTGATCCTCTTGCCTCTACCTACCAAGTTCTGGGATTCCAGGCATGTGTCCTCACACACTGCTTCTAAAATGCAAAGTATTAAAAGAAAGAAAGTGGACTTAGACCCCAAACATCTAAAGTTGCAGCTTTAGGCAAAAACTTATCTTTGACTATGAAAGCAGACTTTGTGCTAGAGGGAAACCTGAACACAAATTCTTTTCAGCAAACATTACCCTTTGTTCTTTGTATATTCTGTGCCAAGTTACTAAACAAACGAGGAACAAAAGCCATCTGGAGCAATCTGGATGAACGTCGGTGGAGTGACTTGGGCTGGTTTCTCTTCTACATGCAGAGTAGACAGAAGCTTCATTACACACAGAATTACTGAAATGTCAGCTAACATTATAAAACCAGCGTGTCTTCACCGCAGGGACAAAAGTCCTCAAAATGGCTGTCAAAACTGCACCTGTACCTACAGTGTTACAGACAGCACCAACGTTTTCAAATAAGTTCTTTGTAATAGGTATGTTTAATGGGATTCATTTTTGGAATATTTAGTTCATGAAATAACTCCTAAGGAGCTGGAATCAGAGACAAGGACCCAGAGCTGCAAATCAGTTGACATTTTCAGTGATATGCCACAAAGACATCCTGAGTACACATGTCTAAGACTGAACCATGAGCCAGCCACAATGGCTCATGCCTATAATCTCAGTGCTCACAGGGCTGTGGTGGGAGAATTCTGTGAATCCAAGGCCTGAAGGGGCTACTCCAGCTCAGCCTGAGCTACAAAGACTGTCTGAAACACTATTTAAAAAGAACACTAAACTGTTTTTCCTTATTTTCACTTCCTATCTATGTGTCCTACCACAGGAAATGGGTAATTAGGAATCTGTGATGGAATGTATGAGGGGGCTGTTCTGGTTTAAGTATGCAATGTCCCCCATAGATTCAAATGTTCGAAAACTCCAGTAGGTGATGTTGTTTTTGAAAGCTATAGAACCTTTTTAGGAGGCAGAACCTTGCTAGGAGATGTGGGCCTCTGGCCTTGAGATTTGACAGCCAGGCCCCACTTCCTGTCTAACTCTCGGCAATGTGTCTGGTAACCTCACATTCCTGACACCACACCTTCCTCACTGGGATGGACCTTATCCCCTAAAACTGTAAGCCAAAATAAACCCACCCTTCTGAAACTGCTTCTTATTAGGTATTTAAACAATGAGACTAATACAGGGCCGTAAAGTGCAGAGGTAGCTGAGGAAAATTAGACAGGTGTGGGAAAAGTGTGTGACTAGAGCCACATTGAGAGGCTGGGAAGAGCGGATAGAGATAGTCTATGGACATCAAGAATAGGGAGCTGGGGAGATGGGTTCAGATGCAAGTAGATGGGAGAGTCATTTACACAGGCAACGCCCTGGAGGGAGACACATGACGCAGAAATACTTAACACACATCCAGGGGAGAACAGCATCTAGACTTCACTAATGAGTGGGAAGGAACTGTTGGATTTGGTGCCTGTTGAGCTCTTCAGAGAGATGCAGGACTGAGCAAAGAGCAGTAGTTTGAGCAAGCTGAGGCAGCCTTCACTTGACCTGCTGTTGCTCCTCCAGTGCAAGGGGCTGATGTCCCTGGATCCCAGCTTCCTCCTTTTTAAAATGACAACATTCCCGAGGCAGAGTCATGCTTCCTAAGAAGTTTATGTAAACATTTCCAACGAGTGAAGGAATAAAGGAATTACTCGGTGGATTCCCTATTATTTCCTCAGCCATGTGACTTAGAACCAACTCACCTCCTCAAGATGTCTCACTCTAAAAGAAAAGACGTTCAGAAGCAACTTACCTGGGCTGGGGGCAGGGTTATCCAGGACAAGATTTACAACAAAGACTTCCTTTGGGGTTTTCATTTTTATCCTGAAATACTAAGGATACACGGAAGGCCCCTGGTGCTTGATTTTCTGCCACTTATTTTCTTTCCTACTTATTTTAGTTTTTAATTTTTAAGAACTGGGTTACATAAGGCCATTTAAATGCAAATGTGTAACATTCTGACAGTGATTTTTGTTCTGACTTTTGAAAATTTAATGTCACGTACACTCGTGTGACTGAGTGTGCAAGTGCGCTACACACATCATACAGATGCCCACGGAGGCCAGAAGAGGATGTCAGAGCCCTTAGAATGGGAGTTGCAATGGCCGTGAGCGACCATGTAGGTGCTGGGACCGAACTTGGGTCCCCTACAAGAAGAGTAAAGCTCTTAAATGCTGAGCCACATTTCCAGTTCCATTTTGACACTTTCGTTTTGTTTTTGCTTATTTGTGCATACACGAGTGTGTCCTGGCATGCATACTCATGATGTACATGTAGAGGTCAGAGGACAACTTGTATATATCAGTTCTCTCCTTCTACCACAGGGATCTTGGGGACCAAACTTGGGTTGTCAGTCTTGACATTAAGCACCTCCATCCCCTGAGCCATCTCTCTGGTCCTGTAATTTTTTTGTTTGTTTTTGTTTTTTGAGACAGGGTTTCTCTGTGTAGTCCTGGCTATCCAAGAACTCTCTCTGTAGACCAGGCTGGCCTGGAACTCAGAGATCCACCTGCCTTTGCCTCTGGAGTGTTGGGATTAAAGGCGTGCCTACCACTACCCGGTTCCTAGATAGTGTCTCATGTTGTATCCCTGGCTGACCCCAAACAAATGACCAAACAAACAAGCATGCAAACAGCAGCAACAACCAACAAAGCCAGCCAGAATTCATCTCAGTATTTAAAACAATTAGTTTTTACTTAGTATAAGTTTACTGTTCAAAAATGCTATTTACTAGAGCCACAACATTATTTATAAGGACAGAACTTTTATAGCAAAACCTTGATACACAACGTCAGTGATCTGGATACTACATGGATATAGAAGCTATTCAAAAAAAAAAAAAAAAGGAAAATGATATACAGAAAGTGGTACTCATAGGCACAATCTAGATGCTCCTGTTGGTTCCAAAAGTGTGGCGCTACAACGTGACCCAAGAAACTGCAGAGTTCCCAGTGCTGTGCAGAGAACAGATGCAGAGGGGCGTCATTGCTCACTTGAAAAAGCGTGAACTATCAAGACTAGAAAACCTGAGCTGAGCCAAACCACAAACAGTGCAAGAGGCAATAGTCTGGCTCTCTGGCCTTCATCTTTGAGGCTGGTGAGCCTGGTGAGCCTGGTGAGCCTGGCCTGGTGGATGGAAAAGGAGCTCATCTCTAACAAGCATCCCAGACGGTATGGGGCGTTGGAAAGTATGAGCGACTTTGAAACTGGAAAGCAAAGGCTGAGCTATTCTTGGAGCAGAGCTGTGAGGTATTAGAAAGCAAAATGAGGACCATGTCCCCCTCCCGCCCTTTGGCTTCAGGATATGCAGACAAATAAGAGTTTCCAAGTGATGCAGCAGGAAAGTATTTAAGATGAAAAGTTAGGGTTTCTTTTGTTTTTCAGTAACTATAAAGGTGATTGTTTTTCCCAGGACCAAGAAATTGAGTTTGGTCCTTGGAATTTTCCTGTGTGTGTGTGTGTGTGTGTGTGTGTGTGTGTGTGTTTATAAAAACATGAATTGAAATATGTATTCATGCTGACAGGATAGCCACACCAATAAAGGCGAACATGTAAAAATTAAAAAGAGTCATATTTTTCAGGGCACAAGACTATTTTTTCATATTAAAATTGTCTAGAAGGTAAAAACATACATGGATGCTCTAAGGCTTCAGTTTGCAACTAGCAATTAAACCTAAGTGAAAACACTAGCAGGGATTTTACTGTTCAGTTATGGTGTTCATGATACGATGGGAACAGAATACTTTCTCCTTTAATTCTGATGTGCTCACGTGGAACTAAAATCACAAGCAAATCATGATCAAATGTTAAATATTTCAAAATGCTCACAAAAGCGTGCCAGAAAAGACAGTGTTTTCACAGCCCAGAAACACAGGAGGCTGACACAGAGGCAGGGGCTAGGGTGAAATCTAGTTCCTAGTAGCTGCTTGCTTCTTTTTGTTTGCTAGAGAAGTCTCAGGGAAGGGTAGCTCCTGGAGGTTAGGCCATGATTTCAGCGGGTTCGGTGACCAGCTTGGATCCATCCCATACGGTCTTGAACTGCTCAGGAATGGGAAATTCTCTCTGCAGGAAGTTGAGAAGACAGAGTTATTTACATGACAGGTTCATTTTGCAAACAGGTAGAAGGCCGACAGATGTCATCTGATGAGCACAAGAAACTGTATCAAACCCCAACTAGAACCTTATGGAGGTCCCAGTCACTTGCAGACCCGTGTGTTCTTTGACTGCATGCTGGGGTCATCTTGGCAGTTAGCACTTACAAAGAACCAGGCTTACTTTTGGAGACAGGGCTCATGTAGCCAGGCTAGCTTTGAACTAACTATGTACTTGAGTGTGGCTGACCTTCAACCTGTGATACCAAGTTTTGGGATTACAGGCATGTGCCATGGGTTGATGTGCTACTGGAAGGGAAGCCAGAGCCTCATTCACGGTAGGCAAATACTGCAATTCAGCTATATCCCGAGTCCCAAAGTAGGCATTTGGTGAGAACCAGACACCAAACTCAGGCAATCTCCAAAGATCTCCTGAGCTCGGTGCTCCTGAGATGCCATCTGCAGGGAGCAGAGGCTCGAGATGTTCTGTAGCTGGCCCAGGATGGCAACACCAGTGAACAGAATATCCAGTGTATAAGTCCAAGCAGTGTCTCTTAGTCATTGCTTCCCATCAAACCTGAACACTCATGGAGTCAGCCCGTGGTCCTATTAATTCTGATTTGGCAGGGCTGGGGAAGGGACTGGAAAGCTCTGGTCATCAAACTCTCAGGGGACATCAGTATGTGAATGGAGCCCAGACTTATCTACTCTTTGAAACACTGTAAGATGTTCTTTAGGAATGAGAACACACACACACACACACACTCATGCCCCTCAGCTCTGCCTTCTGGATCTTCACTAGACTTCCTCCACAGTCTTGAGAAGTGATTTATTTACTTGTCTTGCTGTAATAAGGAAAGAATTCTATAACGAAAGCATCAACAGGAAAATAAAAGTATGTCTGATACAGGGTGTTATGCTATGTAGCCCAGGCTGGCCTTGAACTCATGAGTCTGCTACCCCAACCTCCCAAGTACTAAGACTACAAATGTATATCACGGTCTTCAGCCTATAATGGAAATATCTTGAGTGATTTAATGCATGTGTGGACCTGGTACCACTTGTGGCACTCTTCTTCAAGTGTAAACAAAGCTTTGTGCTTTGTTTACAAGTGGAACAGCTTGAGAGCAGACCTGGAGCCAGGGATAGATCCCGGGTCTCTTGCATGTTAGGCACATGCCCAGTCATGAAGGGGCCTCTTTGATAGTGAGGTGCTGCGTGGAAGAGACCGATACATCCAGCAGTCTCCTCTGGGAGGTTGGTTTCTCTCTGGATGAAGCACGCCCACTGTCCATTCCAACATTCTAACACCCAAGGCAGGGTCTGCATCCATCCCTCCCACCTCCTGCTGGAAATTGTGGAAAGAAGTGCAGCGACTTGAGGGAGCAAAATCATTGACCCGAACAGGCCAAAGACTACATTGTAGTACAATAGCTTAGGCTTTGATTATAGTCATTCTCTAGGCTGATGGGTCTCAATCTGGGTTCCATACTGGAAGCCACCTGGACATCTTCAACAATTACAGATGCCTGGTAGCAAGCTTAATGAGTCTGATGGGCTCATCCAAACCTCACTGCTTGTCTTCTTAGTCGATCCAGTTCCCACACAGCTGAACATTCTGCTTAAATAGCTACAAAGACCAGGGATGGCCCAGCGTATATACGGCTGTCCCACTCTGCTGTCCTACTCCCTCTGTGCTGGCTGAGGACCCAAGAGGGAATGCTTCTCTAGCCTAAGGTCAGAGTTTTTCTACCCAAAGAGGTGAATCAATGCTCACCGTCTGCTGGACGGTACCATGCTGGAAATGCAAATGAGGAATTCTAGGCTGCAGCATGTGGTATGTGTGGGTAGAGCTGAAGAAAGCATGGTGAGTGTGGAGACTCTCTGTTAAGGAAATCAACCTGTCTGTTGACTGCTCTCGAGATAGCTGCTAACTGACCCATCTGGCTGGTGTGGCCCCTCTCCTAAAAGCATGCCTGTTAAAGCTCTTGATTTGATGCCTCCTCCTGCTCCACACAGAACTCTCCGTGTGTTTATTCTGCTACTACGTCCATGTAGTAACAACCAGCAGAGATGCCATATTTCAGAATCCAAAGAACCCCCAAAAAACAAACCAAACCAAAACAAGAACACCCCCCCCAGATTTATTCAATATCACTCAACTTTAACATGTGAGGATTTTTTTTTTTTAAAGCTGCTTCCTTGGGGAGAAGATGTAAAGAAAGGAAATTCTGGCAGAATTACTTGGGCTAGTGTTTCTAAATGAGGAATTCAATGGGCTGCTAGTGTGAGAAGTTACTTGGGAGCCTGCTAAGAAACACAATTCTGGGGCTGAGGAGACGGCTCAGTGGGCAAAGGTGCTTATCTATCTAAGCAGGAGGTTATTTATCACTTAATAAAGATTGCCTGAAGTATCAGGATGCAAAGCCAGCCACACTAGATAGCTGTAGAAGCTAGGAGGTGGTGGTACACACCCAGGATTCAGGAGACAGAGGTAGACAGATCTCTGTCTGTTAGTTCAAGGCCACACTGAGCTACATGAAATTGATCTAGTCTAAAAGAGAAACAGAGCTCACACAAAGGAGATCTCAGCACTTGGGATCCCACGCCTTTTATCCCAGGCTTTGAGAGGTATAAAAGGAAGAACCCAAGGGTCTCGTGTGAGACTTACTCTCCAGCCACGCTGAAGACAGGATCAGCCCTTTCAGTCTGAGGGAGAGGTAAGAGCTAGTGGCCAGCTGCTTTGCTTCTCTGATCTTTCAGCTTGAGCCCCAATATCTGTGTCTGGGCTTTTATTTTTCGTGTTACAGGAGGACCTAAGTTTGAACCCCCAAAAGCCATACTTAAAGTAGATGCTACATTGCATGCCTGCAATCTAAGCCCTTCTGTGATGAGAGAAGAGAGGAGAACCTGAACAAGCTTAGAAGTGTGGTTTAGACAGTGGGGAACAACAAGAACCCCCATCTCAAATAAGGTGGAAGGCAAGGACTGACCCCTGAGGTTTTCCTATGACTGACACTTGTGCCATAGCATGAACATACCCCCGCACAGCAACACAAAGAACCCAGATCTCGAGGCCCATGGTGAGGCTCCTGAATCCAACCCTGGGTTTTCCCAGGGTTTGGAGCCCACCTTTCCACCAAGCTTCCCAGCAGATCCTTATGTTAAGAGGACCATGGCATCTTTGGCTTCAGTGCACAGAAACATGTGGTGATATACTATTTATGATTTAACAAAGCTTGCCTGAGGGTTCAGGATGCAAAGCCAGCCACACTAATTAGCTATAGAAGCTAGGAAGTGGTGGCACACATCTTTAATCCCAGGACTCAGGAGACAGAGGCAGATGGATCTCTCTGAGTTCAAGACCACCGTGGCCTACACAAGAGTGAATCAGTCTAGAAGAGAATTAGAGATCAAGTGTTCAATCCTAGCCCTAGAGAGATATATAAAAGACAGGATCCCAGTGTCTCAGGCTGCATTCTGCGATTTAGTCCCCAGCCATGATGAGGAGGGGAAGCAGTCTGACACTTGGTGGAGAGCTCCTGGAGACAGGCTCACCCCTTTGGATCTGAGGTAGAGGTAAGAGTTAGCGGCTGGCTGCTTTGCTTCTCTGATCTTCAGCTTGGAGCTTGAACCCCATGATCAGTCTCTGGGCTTTTATGTTTTTGTGTTACAGAAACAGGCAGGTCTACAGACTATTCCTTTTCCTCCCTTCCTCACAACTCCAGAGCATATCTTATTTGTTTTGTTCTACCAGAGAAAAGGGAAACGTGTAGTCCTACACAAAAGGAAATCAGATGCCAAGAGCCAACTCATGCAA